AAAGACTACATTGTAAAATTGGGAAGATCTATGAAATGGTTGAGCTGAAACAAATCTATCACCAGATGCCAGTATATGGTCTTTTTGGGAACTACAAACAACCTGGAGAGGTTTGAGTTACTAGTTCTATAGTATCCTTAAGTAGAAGAGTCTGGACTGCCTCAGAGAGATGCTGGAAAGTTGTGGGATTCCAAGGAGGAAAAAATGAAACCAGAACTGGTGACAAAAGAAAGTGGATGAAAAATTCACGGGACAGCACCTGAAGAACCCACGGATTGGAAGTAAACTCCTAAGGTGAACAAATCAGGACAGGTGTGCATCTATCCTGCTAGAACACACCAGATAGTCACTGTTACTGTTGGTGGTGTGTTTTCCTGCTGTGAGACTCAGGGACATATCCAAAACGAAATCTGCATAATATGGTGCCCCAAGAAGGTTGCACAGATAGGAAATGGGTAGGTGCATCTGAGACAAAAATGCATCCCTACGAGATCCCTGCAGCAGAGGTGAGCAACGATGAAAGAGGATAAATGCACCAACATGGAAAATATGATGATGTGGGTTTCCTCCCAAAACCCCTCAGGGGATCGGTGGATAACATAAACCAGGAGGTGCATGGTAGACAGGCACCTAAGGATAGAGGTTAGGGTCAGGCAGAGTCTGGAAAATTGGGCCTGGGAGAATCTAACTGGAGAATCAGGGTCAGTTCCCACACTTGCATCAAAGCCTCCAAATGTTGTGAGTCTAGAAAACGAAAGTCTGCTTGGTGATAAGCCAAAACAAAAAGATGAGAAGGTCTAAAGGGATGAGGTATACTGAATCTTGTATGTAACTGTGCCTGGAACTGGACAGTATGGACCCTACTATCTAGAGAGGGGGGAAACAGAATATTCTGATAAAGGAGCCATGCATAAAAGGGAAGATGCAGGGTCATATGAGATGGGGGGACACAGACAAAATGTGACATACCTGTGAAATTACACCACGAATGCTGAAGGAGGCCTTGCAGCATCCGCAGGTAACACATGGGATTGCATGGCATAGGATGCAGAACGAAAAAGCTCTCTAAATCCTCATCCTAATGACCAGGTTCTTCAAGAAATGGAAGATCTTGTTCAGGTCCAGGAAAAGCTGGTTGTCTCATGTAGCGTTCAAGCTCCTATCGAACTAAGGGTGAGACCTTCTCAGGTGAGAGTGTGATGCCTGGGAAATGACATTCGAAGTAGTAGTAATCATGCTAGTAATAGTTTTGACATGAAATTCCAAATTCATGGTTCAAAAGAGATCAATTCCCCAAATTAAATAGTGAAGATAAAAACAATAGAGTGAAGTGTATTCCAACTCAAGTTGTGATTGAAAGGCTGAACAATGTCAAATTAGTACATTGAGAAACAATGCAAAAATATATATATATATATATAAAATTGAGTACATATGGGAAGAAAATCAAATTCAAGAATGTCTGAACATGATAATGCCAAAATGAGAAGTGAAGGTTAGTGTGTCACACTCCTATTGGTGGAGGGTTGCCGTATGCTTATTTGCTTGCAAAGGCATAGTATAACCACAATGAACATGGGGTAGGTGGGAGTTTTCGGGCTACTGATGACCAAAGAAAAAAATTGAACATAAAGAGGGCAGCACTAGCCGTCCCTAATTTTACAGTGTAAGACTTGAGGGAAAGCAGCTAGTCATCACCACCTACCACCAACTCTTGGGCTACTCTTTTACCAACAAAGAGTGGGATTGACCATCACATTATAACCCCCTACTGCTGAAAGGGTGAGCATGTTTGGTGTGATGGGGATTCAAACCTGCGATCCGCAGATTGCGAGTCGAGTTCCATAACCACCTGGCCATGCCGGCCACTAAACGAGAAAAGCTATTTGTGATTGGAGGTAAAATACTGTATCAGAAGTTACTTTTATAAGTACATTTTCTTGGTATAGTGACAAGGTCTGGTGATGCTTTTACTAACCCTTTTGCCACGGGTATCCTTTACTACGCATGACAGAAAGTTTTAGTGTCTTACATTCAAAATTTTATTAAACTAGTTTTTGTTTATGTTATACCAATTACTATGGCATAAACACTTAGTTACTAATCCATATTTTAATAGTATATAAGTTTTAAGTTGCTAATTCAATAAGGAAATATTTTTAAAAATCCTGAATTTCCCCTAGTATGACACTCGTGACATACTTTCTTTAGGCATCTTGTCTTCTCTATTTTATCTACCACCCCTTGAAAAAGTACGAAATTATATGTACATTACTCTCTATAGAATGGTCACTGCTCAAATGAACCATAATTTTTACAGCCTTCGATTTTGTTTGGTTACACAACTATAAATAGAAAATCACACCCCTTCTGCCATACCTACCTGTCACATCCTCTCTTTCAGGCTTTGTTAACAGTTCTCTTTTATGTTTAATTATATATTACCTATAACCAACAGAAAGTTGGGGTTTTCATCTATCAAATGACGTATTGTATAACGTTGTGTTCTGAACAAATAAGCGTCAATTTCCCTCAGAGTACAAGCTTTATTCCCATGGGAAAGTTAATGACCAACTTGGATGAATTTGTAACGGCTCTTGTCATATAGTCAGAAAGCCAGAAAAAGTTTGAGAGTTAGGGGAAATTGTCTGCCTTTTGCATGTTATTAGTCTACATTGTTTGGTGAATTATTTAATTAAATAAATTTTTTTTAAAGCACTACTACCATTAGTATAAAATATGTAGGTTTTAGTATAATTGACAATCGACAGCAAGAAAAAAAAGATCGGGTAAGTAACTTAATTCTTGTTTTTCATGTTTATTCTTTATTTATTATTATAAAGTAACTAAAATGTAAAAATAGGGATCTTTTTAGGTTATTTAAGATTATATTAGGTAAAATAAATAATATTAATAATAATATAATAAAAATGTTTCATGAAGCATGCATGCAAGCAGCATGTAGATAATATAATTCAACAGTGTAACGTGAGCTGAACATGCCCCATGAGGTTGGTTGAATTGACCGATCCCATTTTGAGATAGGGTAGAGAAAGTATCGGATAAACTATAAAGTTTTACTGAAAAAACGTTTGAAATGCATTTAGGAGGTTTTAGGGGATATAGAAAGGAAATTTGTGATTTTTTGAGATGAGGAAAAGTATTTTTATTTTTAACATGAAAATTACTTTGCACACTAACTATTCAAAACAACTACTCAATATATTCATGGACAAATCTTTATTATAGTTTATTAAAAATACTTCACTAAAAATATGATTTTTTGTATGTGAAAGACTTATAATGTTAACTGAAAGACTGCTAAATTTTGTGAAGACATACACACTATATTGAAAGTTAGAAGTATTAAATCTATAAAGACTTTAAACGAGTACAAAGAGGTCATGTGGTTGGTCAAATTGGCCGAGCCCATGTTGAGAGAGTTAAAGGGTTTGTTGAATTTCTATTGATAGAAATAACAAGTCATGTTTATGCTCTAGTTATGGGAATTTCTAAAAAACGGAAGCAAATTACTGGTTTCCCATTCAAATTTAAACTTAATAGTACTGTGAATCTCACTAATCTTCTGGAAAAATTCTTGAAAATCATTTCTATTATTTGAACAAACAGAAAATATGTCATCCACATATCAGAATCAAAGAATATCCTTTATATACTGATCCACTGTAGAAAGTAATTCACTTTCAAAATACTCTATGAAGATGTTACATAAAATTGCAAATAGGGGAATGGCTATGGACAATATCTGAAAGTCAATTTAAGGTGAACCCCTTTCTTATGTCATATGCCATTCAAAGAATTGGTTTGTTTGTTTGTATTTGAGCACAAAGCTACACAATGGGCTATCTGTGCTGTGCAAATCTTAGATACTGAAAACCAATTTTTAGTGTTATAAGTCCATAGATAGACTACTGAGTCAATGGGAAGTTCAAGGAATTGGAACTTCCATCATAAATTAAACAGCATATGTGTTTCTCCCCAAACAAGTGTTGGACTGATGAGGATATGTGAAATGTTGAAACTAGTATCAGTATAAATTTAGTATTGTTCCTTTAGTGTGGATTTAAACTTTATTGTAAATTAATTTAAATGGTACTGTGTACTTACCTATTATGCTATACAAAGTTCTAAACTTACAAGTTTTACCAATGAAATTAAATGTTTAAGAACAATCATGCAACTGCAGTATGTATTATTTTTTATTTTTACATGATTTTCATATACAAAACAACCTATTAGAATTAACTGTAATAGAATTTTTGATAATAAGTTTTAAAAATTATTTGAAATATGAATACATTAGTTGTAGTAATGAACAATAATTTTGAAAATATTTTCACTAAACTAAAAGTTTCACTTTAACTCAGGTAATAAGGTGTAAATTTAAAACAGAATCTCAAGAAACATGTTACTTAGAGATTATACAAAAGTAATACTAAAATATAACAAAATGATTATGGTTGAGTAAAGACAGTATGCAAGAAAAACTTTTTAGTATTGGTTTATTCAGGATAAATAAACAAAATGAAAAGAAAAGCAGATCAAGACTATCTATCTCTCTGTATTTTTCTTTTAGTGTTTGCTTGTTTCATTAATTTCAAACATAAAGATATTTCTTTTGGCCAGCTTGTGTTCTTCCTTTTGTTGATTTGTCCTTGACATACCAGCACTGAATTTTAAAGGTAAACTGCCTTCATCCAGCAGTAGTCCAATTTTTCTCTTTAGCAGTTATCATAAAATTAAGATAAATATTTTGCATGATGTAATCTAATGATATTTGTATAACTTTAGTATAAAATGAATAATATTTCAATAGCTTTTAGTCAAAATGTTGCGTTTGTTGTTAAGTGTAAAGCTACACAATGGACCATCTGTGCTGTACCCACCCCATGTATCAAAACCTAGTTTTTATCATTACAAGCCTTCAGACTTACAATCCAAATGCTTCATTTAGTTGCTAAAAATCCCTGTAAGCTTACCTGCTAAAATAACTAAATCAGCCTCTTTTAGGGCTTCTTTTCGCTTGTGTCGCAGGAGTAACTTGTTATATCTTCCCAGCATTCCTCTTGACATGCCTCCCAAGAAACATGGTATCCCAAGACTCTAGAAAATACATGTGTAAGGCAGGCTTCAAAAACTATATCTTGCTTTCATCTGGCAATTTTAGAACAAATACAATTTCACAAAAAGATTTTGTAAAAACAACCAACTGCAGACAGACACTGGTAAATGTATTGTAACATTAGAGAAATCATCCCCTTTCCTGAATTCTATATCTAAATTTCATATAAAACTAACACAAAATGTAAAAGTCCTTTTAGATTGGCTTTAATTTATAAAGTATTTGCAAATGTTAATGAGAATTGGTAATAAAAATAAAATCTGAACTTCAATCTTTTTTACAGCAAAATAAACAAAGTATTACAAACTATAAACACAGATGCTCCTAAATGTTCCTGACTCCCACTCCATCAATCAAAAAATAAAACTTATTAACGTGTAGTATATTCAAAAAAAGATTTCACTATTACAGGAAAAGTAAAACTGTATTTTTAAATTGAAAGAAACTAAATCATGTACTATCTACATTAACAAAAATAAAATGTTTGATCAAACCAGAAACATATAAAAAAAATTATTTCATACTGCCATTTTATTTTCTTTTTTTTTTTAAACAATTTACTTCACATTATAAACAAAGAAGTCAAAATTCGTATTAACTATTGCTACATATAATAAAAAGAAGAAATAAGGTTAGTGACAAACATTAATATTTAATGTTTGAAACAAGTTGTCAGGAGTCATAGGGAGAAAAACAACAACTAAATATTTAGTTATCTGAGTATATCTTAAAAGGTTTTAAACAAATATCAAATTATTAAGTTTGTTTTTTAGTAGAGTATAACCATAAAAATTATTATATTAAATATGGTTATAAAAAGTCATAGGCAGCAATGGAAAAGAATTGTAATGGAGTGTCTCACTTTATGCAAAAGGTAGAAAATTAAATTCTATTGTCTGCAATGATATTATAGTATCCATTGAAGTGAAATGAAAATTATATATGCACAAGGAAGTTAATATGAATCAAACTATATAATCTGTGAACTGGAAACAGATGCTGTTGATCCAAATGGTGAAGGTTTCCTTGTCCATTAAGATTTAATTCCTTGTTGTTACTTCTATAAATTTAAGAGTGTTAGGAAACAGGAAGAATATTACAGTATCTTTTAATGTTACTACCAGTGTACAATATGATGCATGTCTTCAAAGAATAGTAGGTGTACAAAATAAACACAGATAAGCTGATAAATCTGTATAAATATTCTACAATTGTAACACTTTACTTTGAGTTTTATTGCTTAAAAAATACAGTAATACAAAATATCAATAATCATTCAGACTGATACTGTACTTTTATTAAAAATATTAGAAAATATAATAACTTGTAAACTGTACAAATGCTAAATTTGACAGCATATATATAATAAGTACAGTTAAGATATAAAACAAATAATTTCCATTTACCATTCTTCGGGAGTTTTTAAACCATACACACTCATCTCAAATCACTAAACACATTTTATTCGCACATAACATGCAACAACAGCATTCAGATCATTTCAGCTTGTCAACCCAAAAAACTCTTACTGCAGTTATAATTAGAGCTGGGCAATTAGTGGAAATGGATAACTGAGTTACAGAGTATTTTCCAGCTCATTAAATTGATTACATTGAACTAATCAATTATTCTCATATGAAATGACAATATATATATATATACATATACATATTGCCTTAAAAAACTCACAAATAAGATTTAATGTGTCTTTCATTGTTGAAAAGAAAATTATTTTTCCAAACAGGTTTAAGGAGAATACGCACAAGAAATTTGACTGATAAGAATGATGTTCATATGT